TACAACAGCTCAATGCTGTATATAATGAATACTTTACTAATAGATAAAAAACATCAAGAAATGAAAAAAAAAAGCATGTTCAGAATATCTGGGCGTTAAAAGTAACTCTAGCACAATGGCCTCCAGTCAGCATGAAAGACTGAATTCTTTAAGATAAAGTGTATTTTACTATGGCAGAAGGAAAGTTTGCTACCTGTGTCTAGAAACCCTAATAATACATAACAATAGTGACGCTAGGGAGTCACTACATGGCACTTCATCTGATGGACATTTTAAAAGCATGTCAATTACAATTTCATAGTAAATTATCAAATTAAAAACCAAAAAAATCCACACTGAGATAACATACTGTTTCTAAAAGGAAATGTGTTCTTTTTAGAAGTACAAAATAAGAGTTCTTAAAGATGCTTGGCCAATCTAAATATTAGATTAGGTGAGGGTTCTGGTCTTTTCATTTTAATTATGGAGATGCTTCTAACTGGCAGGAAGTAGTTTGGACCTTCTCCCAAGTAATTTTATAGCCTCTGTGATAAAAGGAATTAATGCCTGCTGAATGATTTAAACATTTAATTGCTACAAAAAATCCAAGCATTTAGCCTCCTGGCTAGTTTCATTTATCTTACCAGAGTGTTTTATTTACTTTTCATTTCCAGTACCTCTTACTGTGCTTTAAATTCTGGCTGAAGTTTGTGTTAAATTCTTACTTAATTGCATAAATTTATGCATGCAAACCTGACTCTGTTTTTCACACTGCCTGCACAATTCTCAGATATAGGCAGCAATTTCTTTTTTATTCCTTTCAGTCCAATTCTCATCTTGTTCTGCTGGAAATTATCAAAGAAATAATGCTTCTATTCTACCTATAAGTGGCTTTGTTTCATTTAAGGTACTTCAAGGTGTTTGTATATCTATAATTTGTTTTATGCGATGCACGGTGCTTCAGTTTACATGAAAAAGGATTCCTAGGTCCTTGCTTCAAAACAATGTCTTTTCTTACCGTATCTTCAGGGAACAACTTTCCTCTTTGCTGTTTAATCTTTTGCATTAGGTCTCCATCATCACAATATTCCATCACTATATACAGATGTCCACCAGCTAAATTTTAGGTAATTTAAGAATAATTAGTATTTTCATTACCGGTGTAAGTATATTATTTTTACTATAAAGCTCCAACTACATGCTATGTGTTACATATTACAATAAACACGTTTTGTTTATAACATGTATTATAAACAAACAAAAAAAGTAATCTTGATTCCTCAGGAGTATGCAACTTTAAACAAATAAAGATATTTTAAGTTTTTATATTTACCTTCAAATGATTCTTTATATGCAACGATATTTGGATGTTTCATTTTAGCCAAAAGAACTGCTTCCTTTCTAGAGTTTTCTACATCAGATGAAGACTGAAAATGTAAGTAGACTTATATAAATGTCACACTGACGGATTTTCATATATACACGATGCACCTCACTTTCCAAAAGGAAAATATTTTTAAGAATTGTTCTTCAGTTATTTTAAGAAGTCATTTAGAACCTTGAAAACCTCATCATTTTTTAATCTATGGTTTATTACTAGCTAAAGACTTCTTCGTGTTTTTGGGGATTTGTTGCGGGGTTTTTCTTGAGAGGCTATTTTCCTACTTCAGATAATTACTTTTTCTGTTTTAAAAATGCAGAACTATATAACAAAGCAGCACATACTGACTTTGGAACAGCTGACAGTCTACACTGCATGAACTTGGTATAAAGCCAAGTGCCCAGGTATTAACTGAGATTCAGCCTTGATAAAGCCAGCGTCCCCTGTTTTGTGAATTTTTGGTTAGCTAAGTGCAGAGAAGGTAACCTGAATATCTGATTACCAGCAATAATATGAGGCTAATTTCCTCATTAGGCATTGCAGATGAAATCTGCGTTCTAGCGAAATCAATAGGAATCCAGCCAAGGGCGTCGGAGGAACAGGGGTTTCATTCTAAGTGTCTTCCTATGTGCTATACTTCCCAAAATGTAACCACACACTTTCTGAAACAGATCAGATTTTGCTACTTTACTTATTATCAACAACATAGACTCAGACATAGTTATATAGTAGCCATACCATACAACTGTCTAATACACAAAACTCAGCAAAAGTGTTCAGCGTTTCAAAAATATATCCAGAACTATGATTTAAAAAAAAAAAATTTTAAGTGGTGGGTGAGGTGATGTAAGCATCATGCTTACCATAGGAAGTCTTATTTCCTTCATTGCATACTTCTGGTCACTGATTCTGTGATGAACTAGGAGAGCTCTGCCAAAGGATCCCTCTCCTAGTACTTTCAACACTTTGTATTCTTCCATGCTTTATAAGCCTAGGTCCAACACTTCTCTTCAAACACTCTCTTTCACAGGATTATCTTCTAAACTTTGTCATGACCTTGATTCATTTTTTTGAAATGTGTTGTTAATATAATCTGCATGAGAAAAAAAACAAAACCAAACCACAAAATAACAAGAATGGGTGATAAATGTGGGTACCTACAACTGTTCAGCATTACCATAAATACAATTTCAACCACTGTTACTGTGATTTTGCTGAAAATGAGGCCTTCAGAAAGTTCAACGCAAAGTACCATATAGTGTAGCTCTGCAATTTTTTTTTATTTTGAATGATAAAGCTCTTTGAAAATGTAAACTATAGCCCTACAACTCAGCATCTTCTTTTTGTTACCTGCACTTCTGCAGGTGGCTTCATAAAACTAAACAAAACTCACAGGCACAACAATATAAACAATAAGCTTCGAGTTTCCAGTGACAATTCTTACCTAAAACAGCATAAGCAGGATCAAGCTGGAAAAAGTTACCGGTGTTCATGCGTAAAAACCTCAATAACTGGCAGATTTGGAGTAGAATAGAATAGTTCAGTTGGAAGGGACCTACAACGATCACCTAGTCCAACTGCCTGAGCACTTCAGGGCTGACCAAAAGTTAACGTGTGTTATTAAGGGCATTGCCCAAATGCCTCTTAAACACCGACAGGCTTGGGGCATCGGCCCCCTCTCTAGGAAGCCTGTTACAGTGTTTGACCGCCCTCTCTGTAAAGAAATGCTTCCTAATATCCAGCCTAAACCTCCCCGGGTGCAGCTTTGAACCACTCCCATGCATCCTATCACTGGATTTACAGACCGTGTGCTTTCTTTAAAACGCTGGTACTTTTAAGTTAGTTATCCACGATTCAGACATCACTTTATGCATATACTTGTGTGCACACAGTGTTTTAATAGGCTGATGACTTGTTTTTAGAAAGCATCTCAGGGCTTAACAGTTTCTGAAAACATGCCGATTTACTCTGAGGCTGCAAAACACACACGTTGATTGACTTGAAAACTCTGAAAGCACCTAAGCAATGACTAAAAATGGTGGTTTTCAGGGGAACGGGCACACTCGGTGTGTGCTTCACATTAATAGCGGTTACACTTGGTGGCTACGGCTCTGTTTCCCTGAAGAGGGGAAGCCGAAGCCCGCCCTGAGCCCCTCAAGGCGTAAGGCGCGGAGGCGGTACTCACCTCAGAGGGCCGCGCAAACGGCCGAGGCCTCCGCCCGGCGCCTGAGGAAAAACCCTCGGGCAGGACCGGCGATCGCTCCGCAGCCGAGCCGGGGCAGCACCGCCAGCCTCCCAACGCGGGGCTGGGGGTCTGAAGCAGCGCCATTTGCGGTGCTGGCGGCCCGGCTCTTCGCAGAGGCTTTTCCCGTTTTGTTCCTCAGAACAAGCAAATGGGGCTTATACCCGGTATTTATTAACAATAAACTGTCACGACACAGATGCCCTGAGCAGCACACGCTCCCTGAGATGCAGCGGAGTTGAATCCTTCACAACAGAGAAAGAGAAGTGCCTGCCTAGACCATGTCCTGACTGGGACGTGTTTCATCCTGTGTTACTCCTTGTAGTACAAGCAGATGCTGGGACTTGCTCGTCAGTGATCAGGAGGGTTCTCCGAAGAAAACATAGTGCAGTAGTACACTTAAAGTTTGGTTTCATGTTAAATGCCTCTTGTTAGATGCAAAGAGCACACCCCTTCTGCAAACATAAGATTCTAGCTAGCCCTAAGGACCACTCTGTTTAACACTGAAATGTGAATGCTCAGATACAGCTCACGGTTCACGTAAACTCTGCATACTGAAGATACGGAAACGCTCGGCTTCTGCTGAATGTGAAAGGTTTCACAATGTTGTGCTCTGACAGTTCGCTTCCAAGAACAGACTAAAATAATTTTCATTATTCCAGTCTCAGGCCTACAGCCATGTTCTACAATTAATTTCCAACCTAAAGCCCATAAATAAAGAACAAATACAACTCAGTTGATTAGTTTAATAAGTCTACCATATTACAGACAAATGCAAACCAACATTAGAACAGTCACAGAGTAATTAGTGTATCAGACCTCATCTAAGGGAGATTACTTGAGTATGAATAATCCCAGTAACTAAAGAGATTAAAATCAGTTTTGTTGAAATACTTCCTAAAAATGGATACAACAGTTTAAACTTAGTGTACACCTTGCCAGTTGGTTTCAGTTTTCAAAACTAAGTATTGCTGTAGTAAACATAGGCATTCCAATAGGGCAATGTCATTTTTGTTTCTTAAACTAAAAGTTAGATTGTGCGATTCTAGAGAATTTTTATGAACTGCAACAGGAAAACAGTAGATATTAGCAATATACTACAATCAAACTTATATGAAGTGTTAAACCTAGTCCCTAATTCAGTAGTCAATCATATTTAACATGAAGACACTGATGTTTATGAGTACTAAAACAGACCACATTTACCACAATTTTGAAAAGGCAGAAACTAATAAATTCGAAGGTTTAGTGACTCAGGCAGTCAAATTTCATCTTAAGCCATCCATGCAAGTTTTAGATAGCTGCTCTCTCAAAGCTGCTAAAAAACCCCACCCCCCTCAACTCTCCTTAAAAAGGATCCAATCTTTAACCCTCATGTAGCAGCATTAATGCTACTTTTTACTCTTCTACTTCAGCACTTGCTTCTTTGAGCTCATTGCTCTGTTTGTGGGTAAATGCAGTGGCTTTTGATTCCAATTCTCCCAGCTGTTCAAATGAAGAGACAGATGGATCTTGATCTTTAAGAGTATTCGACAGCTTGCACATCTTCTCCCGAATGCGTTGAGAATATCGCAAAGGGGTTACAATTGTCAGGTCTTTAGCACTGGCGTCATTTGCCTCATGGTGCATCTTCACACTTAGGAAAAGAAAAAAAAAAAAACCACAACACTAAACATAGGCACGCTATCATACAAGTTACCTCTGCAGCATCTGGCAGAAACAGCAAGTTGTGATTCCTATTCAACTCCTTCCCATTTCCATAGCCAAAGGAGACAGGAAACAGGCCCTTTCCCATTCATACAGTTGTATGAATCAACAATGTACCTCAACCAGATGTACAACTCTTTTCTTGGGCAAAATATTTTAATCTGGAGAACCTCCTGAAAAGAGTTTCCAAAGGAAGATTCCCCCCATTCCCTCAGAGGGAAACTGTTCTTCCTGCTATGAGGGACAGCGGGCAGCTGCCAGGAGTCCAGCTTCATCAGATGCCAAAGCTGAGCACAACTTTAAGTCTGCTATCTTAGAAGAAACTTGTGGCAAAAAAGAATTGAAATGTTATCTGTTTTGTCCTGAGATTACTACTCAGATTTTTGCCTCAAGATACAATTAAGATAATCTTTACAGGAGAGTTACAACACAGAAGAAGTGAACAAGATGTATGACATACAACCACATCTACATTTGAAAAGGGAAGACTAGAGACACCTACTTTCTCTCTTTACTTAGCTCAGTGTAGAACTGCTACTGCCATGTGGATCCTAAGCCTGGAACTTATGTCTCTGCCACAAAGAGGTTTGATAACTATGTAGTGAGGCATTCAAAAAGCAAACTAGTTTGAGTAAATAGAGGAATTAAAAAAAACTTCCTTCTGAAGGAAGAGGAAGCAATCCTAAAAAACTAAGTTCTTGAGAGCTTTTAACTAGATGTTCACAAATGCAGTGCCTCCCTGTTTCAACAGGACACAAACATTACTGTTGCCCCAGACACTGCAGACTTCCCGTAGTTACCTGAAGTAACCTTACCTTTCCAGGCACGGTGTGGTAGATGGATTGTATCTCATTAAATAAGATGCGTCATTCTTCTCAGGAGAATTAACTGCTGGGGCTGTATCTTTCACCCCACCATCATTCTGCTCTTCTGTTTCACATTTTCCTTTCTTTTTTTTGTGTTCTTTAGTCTTGTGCTTTTTATTCTTCTTTGGCAAGATCTCTTCTCTCTGTTTCAAGTCTAAATCCATTTCTTCTTTTTTGATCACTTCAGTGCTAGTCTCTGCCTTCTTGTCATCACTCTCTGCTTTTTGGTCATCCTCAGAGCAGAGATCCTTGAAGGCCTCCTGAGCCAGCTCTACATATGAATTTGGTTCCTTGTTGACTTCCACTACCTCACATAAATGAGCTTCTATCACAGTTCCCCCTAAAATTGAAATATTGAAGAAAGTACAGCTGTGATTAGTTACAACTAAAGATAAGTTAATGTTTTAGATCTCTGAAATCTTAAAGCTTTATGTGAGAATGAAAGTTAAATATGTGTTGAGTTTGAGCCACAGCAATTTAAATTGCTAATAATTCTAGTCACCTTCAAGAACCTGCAACCTGAAAACTCAGGCTAAGTACATCCTGAGAAGTTGTGCGGCAGCTCTGAACAAGTATTTCAGTCAGTTTCTGGGATCAAATACTTGTCAGATTATGTTATATTGACTAGAAATGTATATGGCTACTTTGCTTCCAAAATTGTAATATTTACCACCTTTAATTGATGCCGTGCCATAACATGATCATGCATCTGCTAGCGAAGGAGTTTGTGTCAGAGGCAACTGATTTTTAGCTCCCAATAATGTTTTTATTTACACTTTGATTATTAGGCTAAAATAGCTGGACAACATTGCTTTGATAGAGTTTAAGTAAAAAGTCTGAATATGAAAGCATCTCCACTACTCATTTTAACGTGCCCACCATTGAAAAGTATTAGTTTAGTCAAGGTTGTTTTCAAAGACGGTCGAGTACAAAACGATCACAGAGAAGTTTCCATGAAATAGAATTTAATATAGGCACAAATAGTTTAAACAGCTAGCTTGTGTTGCCTGTCAAGCCTGACATTTAACTAGAATAGAGTACTCAGACTTACCATCCTCAGACTTAAAAAGGTTTTCGGTATTTTTCATAGTCTCTATTAGTGTGTGTCGTAGTTCATCTTTAGGCTGGAAAAAAGTTATATTGTTTTAGAAAAACAATTCCAAAATTAATCATTTCAGTTTATTTGGTATAAGTTACAGGGAAAGTGGTACAGACCACCTGATGTTCATGTTACAAACCCTTTATTTAATGCTGTTCAGACATAAGTCAGAACAAAAGTGAATCCTGTATTTTCTGTATTTGGTGCATTATGGCTGTATTTGATGCCCTGAAGTCTTGCTGATATTAAAGCACAGGAATTAAGTCCATCAACAAATGTAAAATTAAGTTCTGTTTTGGGTTTCTAGTGACACTAGAAGTCTCAGTCCTTAATTTCCTCTAGGCAGAACATCATATGTTATTCTCACGATCCTAAACCTTTCTTCTTGAAAGTAGTAAGTATCTACAGTGGTTACAGAGCAAACCAAATCCAATTTTTTTATGTTCAAGTAGGTCACATGGCTCTCCTTCTACTAAAAAAGGATTTATTAAAGTCAGAAATAGTTGTATTTTATATACCATACTTCCATGCCTTTATATTTGTTAATCTCAAACTTCAAGGCAAGCTGCTCACCACTGCTCCTGCCAAAATGGCCTCCTCATAGACAGCAATAAGTTTTTCAAGAGGGCCCATCTGTTCAAGACGCATACAGCAGATCCAATATTTCGCAAGCTTTTTAACCCCAGGAATGCTCTGTATCAGGTCTTCCAACATGGCATGTACTTCATCGCCTTGACATCCCTAAAGTCAACACAAGAGTAGAGAGATTTAAATGCAGTGAACACTTTGAGGTGCTGTATTTTAGCTGGTTTTGAACTAGAAAGCAAGTATTTTTTCTTTCTTTGGAGACTAACCCTGAAAGTTGAAGATGGCAAGTATTTCCAAGACTGAACTAGGCACTTGAGCAGAAGAATTGTCATTCACCTATTCTTCCAAATTAGAATTATTTATACAGTAATGTAAGCAGAAGGGATAGTAGAATGCAGACATCTTCAGAACTACTTAAAACAGACTTTTTCAGAAGTCCAGGCAAGCTTCTGCAAATGCAAACTTGCGAAAAGCTATGATATTGCTTAACTTGGGAGCGATTAGTTCCCTGCATCCAATTCACAGGTCCAGCACACCTGTAGGACTTACACATTGTAAGGACCTATATGATTAGAACTTAGTAGGCAAGGGACTGAATACCTGTTTGGTTAACTGCAGACATTCTGCGAGAGTCTTGTTGACCTTTTCGCTATGTAATACTTGCTCTAAAGAATCACCAGAAGAGAATTCTTGTTCTTTGCTTTTAGACTGGGGTCCCAGAAGCACATATCTAGGAGGTCTCCTCATCACTTTTCCTCTAGATGACCTCCATTCATCCAGGCGAGCTCTGCATTTAAAATATTATTAGCTGAAGTGACAGATGTTTTATCGTTTTTTACATTGACTGACACTAACTTGGATAAGTCATGCAAAGTTATACTTTCCAGATAGTCCTCACGTCCTCTCCCTTTAATCCTAAAAGAAATACAGCTGCCATTTAACCTGGCATGGAAATTTCAGAACCATGCATATCACTATCTGCTTTAGGTATCTATCAGGTCAGAACACTTTTTTCTTTCCCTTTCCAGCAGCAACAAGAGACTTAGGCTACAGACCTTTTTTTCCAAGAGAGGGTGAAAAAAAAAAAAAAAAAACACGCTTCTGATTTATTCATCTGTGCCACCTCTCTTCCCTAACCCCACTTCAAACCATAAAACTAGAAACTGTCTCTAAAGACACAAAGCATGGAGAGCAGCCCAGAACAACCCTATCACACAGCTTTTAAAATCCGGAACTGATATATAAGTGTAATTCATTCTTTATATATATTTCATTTCAACCCAAACCTGCTAGACCACCAATTTTTAGCAAATGTGACTTTCTACAAGGAGCTCTACCATGAATACTAAATAACTTTTAGATGATGAATCTTCACCCCATTGTCTAAGCTGCATTCACCAAGTTGAAAAATGTGTCATTGGCAAGTGCTCTCCTTCAGTCTATAAACATGCTCACTTCTATATACATCCTGCATCAGTTTTGTTTTTTTGTTTTTTTTTAAAACAGTAGTATGCATGTGCAATTCATTTACAGGATTATCTGTCATGCTTAAGGCTGTCACAACACTTAACCTAAAAACCAGAGAATTCAAGCAATATACATCTGCTATTTATAACCGCACAGGACAAGCCATAAGCCTGAAGAGCTGCTGCAATTAGTCTGAATCCTGATTTCTCAGCATCAAGTCTACAGTTTTAGTCTGCTGCCCTTGGGCATCAAGTTCAAACAGTCAGTTGACTTATTTTTCAGCGCATCTACAGCAATAGATGAAAATAAGTATTTATATATAAAGGTCTAAATACCTCCCAAGATCAAGCTATGAGAGTGAGTAGTTGAGTTACCTTCTCTCTTCTGCTGACTCTTTTGGCAGAACAGATTTTCTGTTGCCCTTAGTTTTAGAATCCAGTCCCGATTTTGTACCAGGAACAACAGAAATTAGTTTTGCTGGAGCTTCTGGTCTTGCATCTTCACAAAAATCTGCACATTTCTTCACTCCTGGTGCTCTGTGGTCAGAATTGTTAGAAGCAGCCTTCAGTGGCTGTGGTCCCCTTCCACCCATCATTTTTTGGGCTGCTACTTTCTTTGGTGCCACAGCAGATGTTGGTTGCCGTTTCTTCAGACTAGACTGTGACTTAATAGCAGCTTTGTCAGATGGTTTGCTCTGGAATGGGAGGACACCATTTGGTTTTACAGAATTAGGGCAGTTTGTGACTTTGATGGTCTTTAGAAATACACCACAGCTGCTCGTGGGCAAAGAACTTGCTGCTGGTTTGGTGGCAAGAGGAAGAAGCTTCTTGTCTGGCAAAGAACTCTTTTCCCCCTCACTTTTTGGTGCTTTTCGGAAGGAGTTTATCTTGGATTGGATAACTTTGCCACGATATGTACCAAGTACTGGTTTCTTTGGTAGGCTGACACTTGAATTTTGTTTTTCTGCTATCAATTGCTTCTCTTTTTTGCTTTTTATTTGCAAGAAGGACTTGCTAAGTGACACAGGCTGAGATTTTATTTCAGTGACTTCATCCTTGGAAGCATGATCTTCAGGATTGCAGTTTGTGCCCGATATGGAATTTGTCAGTGTCACTGTGGAAGAGTTTAAAATAACATTTTTTCCTGAGGTTCCACTTGATTGGTCCCATGACAGTTTATTAGCATTCTCTTTATTTTCCTGAAATCAAAAGCATATCCATGGATATGTTAGAAGTACATTCATGCTGCATGTTACTTGTTTCCAAAGAGGCTTTCACTCATTTACAGGACTAAAGTGATTAACAGTAAATGTCACTTTAAAAATATCTACAAAAGTAGTGTATATATACACCGAGTAGAATATTTGTCAACTATTACTGCAGAATTCATGTTAAAAAGAAAAAAAAAAAATCAAATAAGGACTATTTAAACTCTGCCTTGGAAGTAAGAAGGCCTAACCTGAGGGCTACACTCTTCTTACAGAAGCAACTCTCAAAGCAACCACTGGCTTTTAACTGCCAAAATCACTTTCTAAGAAGAGCCATAAAGTAGAAACTTGCTTTAGGCTGTATGTAGTCAAAAGCAGTACCTCAGTTTGCATACCCTATCACTTAATGGCAGCACCATTCCTCCGCTTAGTGTGGATACCCTACTAACACAAGGTAGTGAGTAAAGCCTTTAATTAGGGCATTAGGATATGTTACCAGAAGAGGGAAAATTTTTCTTACTAATGAGCTGTAGGATGCTGGAGTTAAGAACAGACGCGTGAGTTTTACATGGCCTTACTAATCCCTGAAACTCTCAGCCATATGTTCTCAGCATAACCCTAGGCCAGAGGCCATGAGAAGCGGGACCTAGTCTTTTCCTCCAAAGATGATGCTCTGCAGCAACTAACTCAGCATTGTCCAAGCAGCAGCTTATGGAAGAGTGACAGATCCAGAGGTGGGGCGGGGGAGAAGTGAGCGACACATGAAAGTCTGCAGAAGCTTATACTCTCCTTTAAGGAAGATGCCCTTGGATTGTAAAAAAAAAAAACTACACTGCATCTCATTTCCTGACCTGTCATTCAGGCTTAGAAGTTAGATTTGACCAAGCCAATAACTAGAGCTAGAGCGCAAGGGCTGCTGTTTAAGGAAGCTATGTAGTTTAACTCAACTTTAAAAAAAATCACACGAGACATTAAGACCCACCAAAATATCTCCCTTCAGGAAATTTCTAAAATAAAATAACTTTGTTCTCACTTTTGGAATTTTTCTCCTCACTACTCAGTTTTGAAGTTTTAAGGTTTTTGCTTTCCTCCTCAAATAACCCCAAGTCTCTCAAATCCTTCAGAACCCAAACTCAAAACCATCTAATACAAATACAGATTTTGTGTCTATTTTTTTCCCCTCTCACCTTTCCCTGAGAACAGGTCTGGAGAAGAATCTGTATTTTGCTATTTCTAAGTAGCACAACCATGTACATCTTAATTCCGGAAAAATGACACAAAATGATATAGGGAAAACATTCCCTTGAACTCTGGTTAGGTATTAGCATCTGATTACATGAGATTTGCCAGCATCACCACACATTCAACAGTTTTGTTAGTAGGTTTTTTTTTCCAAGTAACAGAGTACAATAGAAGAATTCTCTATTCTGACAGAAGACCTTGCTCAGATTTTAAATAACTTCCCTGAAGACTGAAAATATATCCAATAAGTTCCGAGAGTCTCAAGAAAAGTTGTTAAATTTTAATCATTATTTCAGCAATAATGGTATCCTCTTTAACCCCCTTTCCAGTCAGGTACAAACTGAATATCAATATGAACCATTACATACAGTAATGAGATAGCTCTCTAAAAAGCATATATTAAACGGTCACTGAGTAAAGTTTTAACAAACTGCACTTCTGTACCTGCAAACTTCTCATGCTCTCGAAGTTGTATAACTTAAATACAGTTTAAGTGAGTGAAACATTGTAGCCACAGAAACAGAGTGCCGTCAGTATTTGAGTATTAGTCAAAAACTCACCATTCCTGGCTTTGGAGATGTTGAGAGCTGTATTTTGTCTTGCAGTTTATTGCTAGTTGCTCTCCTAGTTCTGCTGCTGCTTAAAAAATAAAATAAAATAAAATAAAAGACATCTTACATCAATCTGTAACCTAACGAAGGAATGTATTTTTAGAGTAAGTTCACACGGTCCAGGTGGCAGTCTGAATTCACACTGAAGCATTTCTGTTCAGCTTGTACTCTTCCTCCAGAAAAAATAAATGGCTAAGCAACCACTGATCAGGGCCCAGGCTGCGAAACATCCCTTCTTGCACCATAAAGAGCTGGCTAACAGAGGGGAAGAGAACAGACCCTATTTACTGCAGGTGCCATTCTCATGTTTAAGGATGAGCACCAACCTGTCTGGCCCGATGCATCTGCTACAGAAGGTCAAGTTTCTAAATGCTACAGCTGAGGGGGAAGGGGAAGCAGCACATGGAGTTGAAGCTCAGCTACTGCAGTCATCAGAGGCGAGTCTGAACAAGGATACGTAGTTCCTACCACACTGACAGGTTCCAAAACCTGTAGTCAGGAACCAGAGCTGGCATCAGACTACCCAGTGAGTAACCAAACCACCAAGACCAGTATTGTCTCCTAGCAACTATGAAAATGTATTGACAGCTCAGGAGAAAGACATCTTATTTTAAAGTTACAAATCCAAATTCTTCCTCAAATGCTTCATGATGCATTCACATATGAAACATGTGGCACTATCGCATGTGACTGAAAATTAACATTCCAGTTAGCAACTGGTATCTTTGCATCAGATGATCTTCTGGAAGCTAGCTGAGTTGAAAATGAAGGTACCTTAGTGAAAATAAAGATAGATACATTAGTGACTTTGAAATGCTGGAGAAAGCAGTCTGCAGCACACTATCGCCTCTGTGTCATCTATGCTAGAGAATACATATTAAGGGAACTGATCAGAAGTCAGCAGTGTGGAACAGTGACAGCCTCACAAAAGGCAAATATCTGCAAAATAAAAGCACTAGTCATACTCATGTACATGATGGCTCTAAACAATGATTTCACTGAAGACTATGAAAAGCCCTGGAATTTAATAGCCAGAGAAGAAACTGAAAGCAAGAAAAAGTAAAGTAGGATAAATGCTAAATTAAGAGTATTGCTACAATGAAAGTAGTTGGCACTGATTTTCTATCACAAGATAGCTTTCTACAACATGAAAGCGCTTACCTTTTCCTGCTACACAGAGATTAAATATAATCTTTGACAGATTATATTTACCCTTGTCATTTATGCATATTTTATATTCATAGGTCATTGTTCAGCTAGATTTGAACTACCAAGTAGTTCTGTGCTGTTGAACATGGAACCATGGCACCTCAAGAATACAAAATGGTAAGCAAGACTTCCCATTTAGATGGGAACAAATTTCAAACAAATTTACCATTTGCAAAAACATTAAAATAAATCAGAAAGCTGCACCATGGACTAATGTTAGAGCTAGAACCCTTTGTACTCCTTCACACCACTGTCTTCTCTAGAAAAACTTCTGTTGCTTATTGGAAGGTGTGCTGGTTTCGGCTGGGATAAAGTTAATTTTCTTCCTAGTAGCTGGTATAGTGCTGTGTTTTGGATTTAGGATGAGAATAGTATTGATAACACACTGATGTTTTAGTTGCTGCTGAGCAGCGCTTACACTAAGTCAAGGACTTTTCAGCTGTTCATACTGCCCTGCCAGCAAGGAGGCTGGAGGTGCACAGGAACCTGGGAAGGAGCACAGCCAGGACAGCTGACCCAAACTGGCCAAAGGGATATTCCATACCATATGATGTCATGCTCAGTGTATAAACTGGGGGGAGTTGGCCGGGGGGGCGGCACAGCACGGCTGGTCAGGAGCTGGCTGGGCATCGGTCAGCGAGTGGTGAGCAATTGCATTGTGCACCACTTGTTTTGTATATTCTTTTATCATTATTATTATTTTTCCTTCCTTTTCTGTCCTGTTAAATTATCTTTATTTCAACCCACGAGTTTTACGTTTTTTCCGATTCTCTTCTCCATCCCACTGGCAGAGGGAGTGAGCAAACACCTGTGTGGTGTTTAGCTGCCCGCCAGGTTAAACCACGACAGAAGGTCTTACACCAGACGTCCAGACTTTAGACAACAGCAGGAAGAAGACTTAAATACAAGTCAATAGAAAGAAGCATTGCTAATTGGTGATAGGTGCCCACATTACAGAATATTATGCCTACCTGCTGGCCATCGCACAGGCTGGGTTTTATTACAGAATATTTGCTTTTAGCAGAAAATAGTGAGTTAGTAACTACAAAAATACAATGAAGCTAGATCAAGTGGATTGTGAACACATGCAGCATAGATCTGAGTAGGAAGCGGAAAAAAAAAATGTTGTTATTTGCAGAAGGAATGTTATAGTAGCAAAGAGCAAAGTGGCATCTGAAAATAAGAACTCCACGATGAAGGCATCCTGTCCTGTGTCAGTCTCTAGAGGAGCAGATAATATACTTCATGAATTGCATCTACTACGCATTGGCTTAACAAAAACTTTTAGTATTTTCTGACAATACAAGGACTTTAGGAAATCCACGTGGTCACCAGTCTCATTGCAGGGTGTCACCTTTTGGTTGAGGTTCTCTGCAAGAACTGCTATTTACGTCTTTCCCACCAACCATGGACCTTTCTAAAGGAATGTAAGCCATAGCAGAAATACTACCTGATCGATGCCTCATTTTCTTGAATGGGCACACCAGAAAAGGTCTTTTTTCTTGATAGATATTCCTCAACTTTTTGTCGTCTTTGTTCTAGTGGGTTTAAAGAAAACAGACATTACATTTTCAGCTAAAATAGTAATGCCAGATAAACTTTATGTCTTAGAAAAAAGGAAGTACAATTAGAAAAGCATCAAGACATTATAAAACATAGGCGCTGTGGGTTAAGGAAGTCTTTAGTTTAATATTCACATCTTATGATGTCTTACACATTCTGTCATTTCTTGAGAAAGGCTATATTTAAGGGGTGGTTGAATGTAATTTCACAGCTATACAAGATGGCTGTTTTGCTGCACTAAGCTAAAAGAAACACGATTTTGTGATCTGAAGAACTGAGGCTCTTTCTTTTACCTTCTGGATGCCTGTCCAGTATTTCACATACTTACTGTTGGTTCAGCAAGCACACTTTTCACTTGTGACAGTAGTGAGGTAGGTATAGCACACATGAAAAACACCATGCACATGAACCCAACTGACCATCTGTAAAATAATCTGCTCCTCTTCTGTTATCATCTGGACATCTGCACAAATGTTAGACCAATGGAGCATTAATAACAGCATAAAACAATCCTGAAAAGGTCTTTAGCCAGCTGTCACTGTCTTAATACAGAAAGTCATTCTAGAAGAGGATACTATTTCCCATGTTTTAGCTGGTTGACTGCACACCAGAGACTGATGTCCTTCACAGGACTACATCGCTGATCTTTTTCAGAGACCTTTCTTCATTCGCGTAGGGAGCTAGTGACCTTGGCTTGCTGGAAGCAGCTGGGATAAGATGGTCCTGCCACACAAAGCAAACTCAAGCATCCACACAGCCAGTCTAGACAGTTAAGACTCAAAGTCTTACAACTGTTTCACATGCAGTGGGATGCGAGAGCAAGAAGTTAAAGCATTATCTTTGACTGAGAACAACAATTGCTTTATGGCATTCAGGAACTCATGACATTGTGCCATTCATTCAGCAGTGGAAGTCTTCAATGAACTTGCATATAAACCCCATCTTCTGCCCCTCCTAGGCAGGCATGAATCTTCTTTTGAATCTGTTTGCACATGTTCTTTATCTGTCATATTTTGTCTTGCCTGTTGTTCTTGACTCACACTTCAGAAATCTCCGTGAGGTCCATCAACACGTTCCCTCATTGCTGAGATATTTCTGTATTGCTGAAGTTCAGATAGTAAAAATTGCTAAAACATTATTGCCTTTGAGGACCTGAATGTTAATCCTGAAAAGAAGCAAGCACTTGATTGCACGCTCTCCATGGTAAAAAGCTGTCAACGCACAAGATGGAGTCATTACCCTCAGAACCTCGTCCTAGTATGGGAGAGCTGAAAAAGGCAAGTTCTTTCTCACGCACCGACACACCAAAGCCAGCAGAGTGGATTGAGACTTAGGCTTGCAGCAACACTGCGTTTCACGTAGGATATAGCGCTTTTTTAGCGCAGCTGTCCAAGCCTACACTGAATGAAGCCCGAGAGACAGTGTACGTCACCTGCTTCTAAAGGGGCGTACACCAGCTAGTACAGAGCTGTGCCTGCCAAGAGATGCTGCGCAGCAGCGAGCTCAGCCTGCATCCTAGAGCTTCCCAGGCACCTTCTGCTTCAGAAACCCAGGTCTCACCAACTCCAAACAGCAAAGCCCCATCAAAGCAATTCAGTTCATTTAACTTGCAGAAGTCAAACCGGTCAGAAAGTAACAAAGAGTGCAGGTTTAGATCGGAGCATTTCCTTGTTTCAATAGGATGCTCTTAAGTTAAGGCGTACCTTCTATCACGAAGAAGGACTGTCAGGCCGGAAGGCCTGCCGGGGGCGGGGAGAGCACCGGCCCCAGCGCCTGAGGGGAGGGCGAGTCTCATCGACCCGCTCGCACCGGTCAGAAGCTCTAAGGCCACGATCGCGGGCGCTGCTGTCAAGACCTGCCCGGTCCCCGACCCCACCTGAGGCGCTTGCCTTCGTCTCCCGCTTCCCGGGAAGAGCCCCCAGCTCCCCTCTCCCACCGCCTCCTCCCTTACCCGCCGCTACGCGGGGCGGTAACGACGGACAGCCCCGGCAGCGAGCGCCTCAGCCCCGCGCCGCCGGGAGCGGAGGGCGGCTCAGCCCCTCGGGGCTTTGTCTCCCGGTGCCCGCCCCGCAGCCTTACCTCGGTACG